ATTTTGGTTCATGTGAAGGAGAAGATTATTTGTGCCTAGATCGATCAAATTAGACACTTTGGAAATACAACAACCAGCAGAGTTGAATCTGTACATTCTACACTAAAGAATTGGTTGGGAAACAATAAGGGTGATTTTTGTCAAGATTTGGATGCCGTGAAACAAATGCTTCAAAACAAATATAATAAGATACAAACATCTTTTGATCGAAACATTACTGTGTTAGAACATCAGTTTAAGGATAACATCCTTTATTCATAGTTGGTTGGCAACATATCTCGAGCGAGATTGAATTTCATTTTTTATGAAGCTAAGCGAGCAAATAAAATAAGTTCAGATAGCTTCAAGTGTAGTTGTACACTTAGAAATACGTACAATATTCCATGTGCTTGTTTAATTGCAAAGAAAATAAAGGTCAACACACCAATACACATGGATGAGATTTACACTCACTAGAAAAGGCAATGGTTTGATGATGATTGTGTGATGAAGAATGATAGATCAAATATATCTATCATGAATGAGTGGGAATTAATCTCAGAGAGATTCATGAAAGCTGATGACAACATGAAATTACAAATCAAAGAGTAGTTGAGGAAGATTGTCTATCCTGAAACCACAGATTTGAAACCACCTTCTGAACAAGTTAAAACGAAGGTGCACCTAAAAAGGTCGAGCTGACCAAGAGTGGCAACTCTACGAGATGGTCACCTTCTTACTTTGAACATGTTGTCTTGCATCTTCCGGATTCTCCAACTTCTAAAATATTGTTTTCAAGGGTGCTTGCATTAGCAAACCATCCCCCCATCACCGTTACCAAAAATCATCTACAATGAGGAGATGTCGATTTTTACGCCTAAATGCATTGAATGGATTATAGATGTTGAAGGTGACAGAAATTGTGGTTTTTGAGCTATTTTGAGTTTGCTCGGTAAAAGAGATGAGAACCACCAATTTATCTACCATTGGCTTATACAATAGTTGATGACACATAGGAAATCATACACGTTGTTATACATGAAAAAAATAAATTTAAGATGTAATTCTCAATGCTCTTGTTCTTTGTGTTAGTAGCCTTACACGGTTTGAAAGATGGATACGTTTTCCTAAAATGAGACATCTTATAACAAATGTTTATGATAGGGCGTGTATCGATCTGACAATATATGGTTTCTCATAAATATTTTTTCTACTTTGGAGTAGGCTGTAACACCCCCTTCTATACCCCCAAATAATCAGATAAATCATGTAATAAAATTTCATTAGAGTAAAATTAAGACATGGTATAAAAGAAGTATGTCACGTCATATACCAAACTGAAAACATACAACACCTGCTCTATAAAAGACATGTAACAATGGGGTAGTTTTCAACAGAGGACTTCGTCCATACACCCACATCTCAACATTTAGAATTAAAAGCGGAAAATCCAAACATTGAATCATTTAATATGTAATCATATAATACATATCATTCAATTTGTTTCATCATATCATTCATGTTTACATAAACATTTGCCATCAGATACATATACAAAATGTATCCCAAAATAATACTATACAACCCTAACTACCCGGTGTTACATATCAGAGCAATCCGACAAAAGAATGAAGCTATACTTCATAAAAAGACCTCTAGCAAAACCTAATCTGCAATGCCTCATAGAGCATTATAAAACAGCAGAAGGGTGAGAAATATTATTATGATAATCAATGCATGTAATTATATATATACATACACAAGTATAGAATACATATATTCCACATTTTCTCACCATATCATATATATATATATCACAACATATATATAAACAAATATGGATAATTATCAAGCACATTTCATCATGCACACATCCATAGTCCACAATTCCACAATTCACACACATGCATATTTCATATAACAATGATATCTATGCCATGTGACTCTATACAACTCAATGCAACTCAATGCCATGTGGTACCAACACTTGTTATCATTTTTCAGTTTTTACACTTAAACCGGGTCCACTCTTCTAGACCGATAACCACCAAAAGCCCGTCCTCTAAGCTTTCAAACCCACTCTTCTAGGCTTGGGGCAAGTCACTAGTCTCCACGAAACTAGCAAATATTGCCTCTTGACTAAATGATGCATATGCATTCAACCATCAAATGCACTTAAGACCATTCTCGCATCTTAATCTCATGCATTCTCAAATAATTCATCACATACGAATTATAATCATGATTGCACACACACCATATCCATATTTCAATACATCATCAAGAAATGCACACATATCCACAATATGTTCTCATGCATTCTTCACATATAATCGCATACAAACAATATGCATTCACAATTCAATAACATCACCACATTTATCAAGCAATGCACACATATTCATAATATATTCTCATGCATTATTCATAACATCGTGCCAACAACAACGAATTCAACAGTATTCATCATACATTTTTAATCAATTTAAACAATCCATTATATTTGTCAAAAGACCACAATTCATCATTCTAGGATTCACGCCATACGGCTACCCACAACACATATTTCACAGCACACAATTACTCATTCCAACAAGGATCGAACACAATCGAACCAAGAAATCAACCTCAGATGGAATCTCAAAGAAAACAAGATGCTGTCACGCTCGATAGCATGCTCGCCTAGCGAGTCTCTAGCGAACAAGCTCGCGAAGGCAAACAGAAGCTACTGTCTAGCTTCGCTACCCAGCTCGCTATAGCGAAGAATTAGCGAACCTTCGCTACCCCATTCGCTACCAGCGAAGAACACAATTCCATTCTGTCCAAGTCTGGGACCTTTCACTACTAGCTCGCTACAAACGAACGTTCGCGACCAGCTTGCCTAGCGAAGGTGCTAGCGAGTGTCTGCGAACTCAAAACCCTCACTGTCCAAGATTCTCAACTCTTCACGAAATCATCCGATTCTCACCAAACCGGTTTCTATAGTCTTAGTCTAACATCCTCCGACTAAACTACACAACTTATTCCCGATTTTAATCGTAAAAACTTCGATTCTACCGATTAAACTCATTTCTGCCCTAAAATGGAAAATGAGCAAAGCTCTCAAATACTCCCAACCAAGCCAACAAACACATACATAATCATAAACATTGATAGAATAACAACATTTCACACCCTTACCTTGATTAAATCGGAGCTAGAAGTTGTTCTTGAGCTTTTCCAAGTTTTCCTTCTTCTCTTTCTCTTTTCTCCTCTTCCTCTTTCTTTCTCTATTCTTTCTCTTATGTTTCTATCTTTCTCTTTTCTTTCCAATTTCCTTATATGTCTTTCTCTTCTAATTCTCTCCAATATTTTCTCTTAAAATATCTACCAATTCATTTAATTAATCATCCAACAATTAAAATAATCCAACTAAATCAATTATTTAATATGAATAATTAATTATTGAAAATTGGGCTGTTACATAGGTCACCTCAAAATCCATTCGGATGTATCATGTGTATTAGATGGCTTTAAAAAAACACAATATTTCGTTCAAGTTTATTTAAAACGGGGGTGTCTTACACCAATGACATCACCAGAGTGATGGAACATTTCATAAAAGAGACTGAAACTTTGTCGAACCACTTTCTAAAAAGGATGGAAGAGTTCACCAAGTTAAGTGACATTGGAAAAGAATCAAATAAGGAAATGTCAAAGAAGGATCTGCCTATAGATATAGATTTAGGCGGTGTCACATGTTTTGATACATATTAATTTTTATCCAATAATATAACTCGTTCATTTGTATGTAATATTGTCAATGATGTAATCTAGATACAATTTGAGCAATACATAATGTATATTCTACATTAATGTTATAAAATTTGGAGATAATTTTTAGACATTTTTTTTTCTATTTTAAAATTTGCCCTGTATATTAATTGCTTATGTATGAATAATGCTCTGGGTGATTTTGGATATGCATCTCTGAACACATTCTATTTTGATTGTAAAAACAACTAAACAGGAGATTTTGCGGATGTGCATATCTGTAAAAACTCTTATTTTGTAAAATAATAGGGCGTGTCGGGATATGCATATCTGAAATATGTCCTGATGAGATGATAATGTTTCTAAAATTTAAATTGATCTAAAATTTGTATAAATAGATGACCTCTCATCCCATGTTCTTTACAAAAACACAATACACCAGAATGAATACATATCTCAATCTTAGATTTGTGTATTTCAATAGTGCAAAGCTCCCACTTCAATTTAGGGTCCAAGGATACACCTCGCATTGATCTAAAATCCAAACAGAAAACTCTTCTATGATATCCAGAAAATCAAAACGCTATCAAATTCGAGTATCATTCACCTTAAAAAATTAATGATGAAGGAAAGATATGGTTCACCAAGTTTAAACGGAAGACATATGGAGATTTAAAGGTTATGTGAAATATATTTTACTATTACTCATCAAAGGGTCCGATTGAAATATATACGACGATTACAAGGTCGGCTAAAATATTCTAAAAATGTTGCAACGTCTTGAACCACCCGTTTATAATGAAATGTAATGTTAAATTTATATTAACAATTATCTATGTAATAATGTTAAGTATTTAAATGTTAATTTATGTTTTTTTTCCAAAATTTTGCTTTTGCTTATGGTTTGACCTAACAGAGCATATTTTAAAAATATATTTTTATGAAATTCATTGAATTTTAAATTAAAGATTATTACGGATATTCATCCCTAATGCATATACAAAGATACACTTCTAAATTAAATTTTGGTAAAATAAAAGCGTCTCTTCAATTTATGCAAATAAATCTGTAAAAAGTGTACATTATGAAACACATCTCTTCCCATTAATATGGAAACAATGCATGGGGTGTAGAGAGTACTCCCCTCCCTTAAATCGAAGTCAAGCCGAGACCAATTATACTAAGCCCAAAGTCTTATACCAAAACTCAAAAGCAAAACAAACAAATTATCCGATTTCTAAAAGCGCGGTTATCTTCATTCTTCAACTATGCTCCACAGTGCCACTCCCATTTCAATGGCCAGCACAGGACCTCACAGCATCCAACTCGGTGGCGCCACCAACTCAACTCGCCCTCCAAAATCCACAATCACACGCAAGAAGAAATCCAACAAATTGGCATTCAAGGAGACAAAGGATGGTTTCGTAGACTACAACAGAGGACAGCACGAGGTATCCACTAAAATCGACGGCCTCCGCAAGGACGATATCCCTGCACACTACCGCCTCCGAGTCGCTGGGGACCGCTTCCAAAAGGATTGGACTGTGTCGGAGGTTGCCGACTCAGTCCTCTCCCTCACCCTCCGCGACGACGACATTGAAGGTCTACTCAATCGCTGGATAGGCCGCTATGCACGCAAGAATTTCCCTTTCCTCATTAGAGTATTGCACTTTTCTTTTCTCTTCACTCTTCCAAGATTACAACTTTAGAAACTTTTAATTCAATATTAGCTTAAACAACACAATTAATCAAAATCAAAAGCTTAAAGTAATGATAATGTGTTGAAATTATTTTAAATGTTTTTCATATAATCAAACATGTAATTCAATGTGCAATTTATTTTCAAATTTGGTAGGAGTTGACTCAGAGAGGTTCAATTGAACACTGTAACTTAGTTTTCAGCTGGATGAAGAACCAGAAGAATTATTGTGCTAGAACAGATATATACAACATGATGATTAGGTTGCAGGCTAGGCATAATAGAACGGATCAGGCACGTGGGTTGTTTTTTGAGATGCAAAACTGCAGGTATGGCTGGCTAAATGGTTAAGATTTTGTGGAATTCGAGTTATTTAATCCTTGTTAGTTGTTGGTAATTGTGTGGTGCTTTGGTTTCTAGGTGTAAACCTGATGCTGAGACTTACAACGCTCTTATTAATGCACATGGTCGAGCTGGACAATGGCGTTGGGCTATGAATATCATGGACGACATGCTGCGTGCAGCTGTGTGTACTTTGTATTTTTCTTCCCTTATCAATCTTTATTGACTCCAACTTTATGTGATCACCATCATTCTTTTTCCTTCTAGGTTTTCTTTTTCAGTCATAATTCTTTTTTTAGTTGATCTTGAAAATGCAATATCATATTCATGTCGGTGTTTTTGATATGACTGTTTTCTTTTGTTTGGCTCTGGCCTGTTATATATTCTGTAGTGTTAACTGGTGAACACTTTAGGCAGTGTAGCAAGTTAGGCACAAATAAGTCCTATTTTGCAGAATTCAGTTTATGATGATTCATGCCTCCTGCAATCCATGTTCTTATTACTTTAATTCAGATCCACACATGTGCTCCATGCCATTGTAAACTTCTTTGAAATTCCACTATTAGATACACACAAATAAAATTTGTTTAATTTAATGCTAGACAATTTATCTTTCCCCCAATGCTGGGAATTGGGAACCATATAGGTTTCATTCTGATCAGTGTTAATTTTTAATATGCACCATTTACTTTGTTTACCTGCACACTACGCTAGTTGGTCATGATTCATCTAGTCTTTGTTCACATTGAAAATGAATAATTAATCTTCATGGTCAGATATTTGTGATCAATGTGATCTTAACATGTTTTCATTCAATCTTCTTAAGATGCTATGCACTTCTTAAGTGTGAATTTCAATCGATACACTTAGAAAATTGCTATGTTGATATAAGTACTGTTTGTGACACTACCATATTGTTGCAGATTCCACCAAGTCGGTCAACGTACAACAACTTGATTAATGCTTGTGGATCTAGTGGAAATTGGAAAGAAGCACTTAATGTTTGCAAAAAAATGACTGATAACGGAGTCGGACCAGATCTCGTCACTCATAATATTATGTTATCTGCATTTAAAAGTGGGGCTCAGTATTCAAAAGCTTTGTCGTATTTTGAACTAATGAAGGGAACTCACATTCGCCCTGACACAACCACACACAATATTGTTATCCATTGTCTAGTGAAACTTAAACAATATGACAAAGCCATTAATATTTTTAATTCCATGAAGGAAAAGAAGTCAGAGTGTCACCCTGATGTTGTAACATACACTAGTATCATTCATTTGTATTCTATGTGTGGGAAAACTGAAAACTGTGAGGCTGCATTCAGTATGATGCTTGCAGAAGGGCTGAAACCGAATATAGTCTCATACAATGCACTACTAGGTGCATATGCTGCTCGTGGGATGGAAAATGAGGCCCTTTTGGTTTTTAATAAGATAAAACAGAATGGTTTCCGCCCAGATATTGTATCTTATACATCTCTGCTTAATGCTTATGGAAGATCACGAAAGCCCCAAAAAGCAAGGGAAATATTCAAAATGATAAAGATAAACAACATGAAGCCAAACATTGTCAGTTACAATGCACTGATTGATGCCTATGGGTCGAATGGTTTGCTTGAAGATGCAATAGAAATTTTGCGGGAAATGGAACAAGATACGATTCATCCAGATGTGGTCTCAATATGTACGCTCTTGGCTGCCTGTGGGCGCTGCTGTCAGAAGGTGAAGATTGATACTGTGCTATCAGCAGCTCAGATGCGAGGCATTAAATTAAACACAGCTGCATATAATTCAGCTATTGGAAGCTATATTAATATGGGGGAATATGACAAAGCTATAGACTTGTATAAATCTATGAGTGAGAAAAAAATAAAATATGATTCTGTTACTTACACTGTCTTGATAAGTGGTTGTTGTAAGATGTCAAAATATGGAGAGGCCTTATCTTTTATGGAAGAAATGACGCATCTCAAAATTCCTATGTCCAAAGAGGTCTACTCATCTGTCATATGTGCCTATAGCAAACAAGTAAGTGCCTTGGTTAAAGTTCATGTAAATGCTACACGCATGAGACTTCTGTTTCCTTAACATTTTGTTTTTTATTTGTGATAATGTTATAGGGGCAAATCATAGAAGCAGAGTCTACATTCAACTTGATGAAATCATCTGGTTGTAATCCAGACGTGGTTACATATACTACAATGCTTGATGCCTACAATGCAGCTGGTAAAATAATATTTTTACTGCTCCAATATTAGGACGGTATGTCAAATGTATGCCTAAGTAACTATATTTGTGTGATCAGAGAAGTGGGAGAAAGCATATGCACTCTTTGATGAAATGGAAGCAAATGGCACCAAGCTGGATACCATCGCATGTGCAGCTCTAATGAATGCTTTTAACAAAGGTGGTCAACCAAGAAGGGTCCTTAGTCTTGCACAAAGTATGAGAGAAAAAGCGATCCCATTAAGTGATACTATATTTTTTGAAATGGTATCTGCCTGTAGCTTGTAAGTTCAGTTTTGGTATCTTACCTTTTTGCATTCTCAGTTGTTCTAAGTTAAACTAATTGAGACTGAAATTTTCTTAGTATATTTCTGATCAAGACATCATGGCACAAATAGGAACTGATAAAAATTAGAGTGGTTAATTGCTTATACTTTTTCTTACTTTTTTCAGAATTTGAAATTTATTACTTCCCACTTTGATGTTTATGCTGTAGGCCTGTATAAAAGTCAATAAAATTTGATATTATCCACAATTGGTAGTGATATTGGTTATTAGAAAACATCCAGTTACGAATGAATCATTCAAGAGAGGCCGAGTTCAAATGTTGTATATTAGCAATAATATAATGTTAAGATTCTGTTACTAGTATCGGTGGAGCTTGAAGCAGAACTCTGGGTTCCTAACAATAACATTGTCCAATAATGAAACACAGATTTTCCTGAAATATATTATGACATTTAATGATTTTTAAATTGAACACCAAAGCTTATAATATTTAATTAGAAGAATGGGCAGGAAACTATAGGATGACTATGGGTTGCTCAATTTACTTTGGTTCCATGACCACATTTTACAGCATGTCATTTTTTGTACAGTCACTGTACTTTACTATTATATTTCTTTCAAACCTGATTTTCTCTTCTGCTACAAGATTACATGATTGGAGAACAGTTGTTGATGTGATCAAGTTCATGGAGCCTTCACTTCCCATAATTTCATCTGGGTGTTTGAATCTGTTCCTGAATTCCTTAGGAAAAAGTGGAAAGATAGAAACTATGTTAAAGGTACGCCGTATTTTTTTTTTTTTGATATTTAATGGTAACAAATACATTAAAAATGATTTCCACATCTATATTTCTCTTTCCGACTTATTATCATTTTTCATATGTGCAGCTATTCTTCAAAATGTTGACATCGGGTGCTGAGGTTAACTTCAATACTTATTCTATTTTATTGAAAAACCTTTTATCATCTGGAAATTGGAGGAAGTATTTAGAGGTAATTGCTCTCTCAGCCTCTCTTTTTGTCTCAATTGTGTGCACTTAATTAAGATTTAATATAATAATGATACATGCAGAATTTAACTTCATGACTTTGGAGGGCATGTATTCCTGAATTCCTGAATTTACTTTTATATATAAGTTTCATTGATAGATGTTTAAATTACTAGGAGAGTTAGTGGGTAATTATTAAAATTATTATATTATTAATTAAGAGTGTTTAAGTTTAGAATAAATAGGGGAAGACATTGGGGAGTTGATCATCTTGGAATTGGATAGGAAAAGGGGTCATTTTGGCATTGGGTGGTGCAAACCCTCGAAGTTCTGCGGCACTATTCTGTATCAGAGCAGTTTTGATCCAAGAAGATTCTACCGTTGTGCTGGAAATTTTGGCATGAATATAGCTGTAGATTTGATGGAAGTAATAGAGTTTGATAAAGAGAGCATTTTAGAGAAGAATAGTATTTTGTATTAACTGATTCTTAGATCTGAGATATTACAACTGAATGCTATTTATACTAGCACTGATAGATGACAACTCAACATAACTAGCTCAGAATTGATGCTATTACAAAGTGCTGATCTAAAAGCATAGTTAATACTAAACTATAGTTATACTCTAATATTTTCCCCTCAAATGGTGCTGCTCTCTGAGGTAGCCACTTGCACACATAGTAGGGAAGACTTGTCAATGACTGAGATTATCCTTGAGACTGAGAAACCTGAGTGCAGAGAGAGGTTTGGTCGGAATGTCAGCAGTCTGTAGAGTGGCTAAGATATGCTTGACAAGGAATGTGTGATTTATCACTTTTTCTCTTAGAAAGAAAATGTCTAGTTCCATTTGCTAGATAGGATTATGAGACAAGGCTACAGTACTCAAATTATCACAATAAAGTATTGGAGTTTGAGAAGGTGCTTTTAATTCTGCAAGAAGTGATTTGATCCAAAGAACTTCTAATGCAGTACTGGTTAAGCTCCTGTATTCTACTTCAGTGCTGGACCTAACTACCAGGGTTTGTTTCTTAGACCACTATGAAACAAGGTTAGGGCCTAGGAATATACATGACCCTGATGTGGATTTTCTATCATCAGGGTCAGACCCCCAGTCAGCATCAGAGTAGGCAGTGATGGTGAGAGATTGCTGAGGACTGAAAGACAACATCTGAAGTCCATGATGAATTGTACCCCTGAGATACCTAAGTATCTTTTTGGCAGCAACCCAGTGACTCTGCATAGGCTGTGACAGAAACTGGCAGGCTTTGTTGACAGCAAAACTGATTACTTGCCTAGTGATATTAGCATATTGCAAGGCTCCTACCACTGACCTATAGTAAGTGGGGTCTGGTAAATAGTCTGACCATTCCTTAGTGAGCTTGAGGTTAGACACCATAGGAGTAGGAAGACTCTTAGCCTCACTCATATTGGCTCTGGCTAAGAGATCTCTAAGGTATTTGGTTTGAGACAGAAATAGGCCTCCTTGAGGAGTTTTGGATACCTCAATACCCAGAAAATAGTTTAGATCCCCAAGCTGTTTTAGAGGAAATTGAGCATTGAGTTTAGTGACTAAGGTATGAATGTGGCTAGGAGAATCTCCCGTGACAATTATGTCATCTACATACACTAGCATGAAGATAGTGTGAGTAGAAGCAGTCAAGATAAACAAGGAAGAATCACACTTGCTTGTGATGAAACCAAGAGAATGCAAAGCACTGGAGAGTCTCACAAACCATGCCCTGGGTGCCTGCTTCAGCCCATAGATAGCTTTGCTCAGTTTGCATACTAGGGTTGAATTAGACTGCACAAACCCAGGAGGTTGTTGCATATAGACTTCCTCTGTCAGGATGTCATTTAAGAAGGCATTATTAACATTCAGCTGAGTGATTTACCACTGTTTTGAGAGAGCTAAGGTTAGCACAACTCTAACTGTGACAGGTTTGACCACTGGTGAGAAGGTCTCCTGAAAATCAAAGCCTTGAACCTGGTGAAATCCCTTGGCCACTAGTCTGGCCTTGTATTTCAGTATTGAACCATCTGGATTTTGCTTAATCCTAAACATCCATTTGCAGCCTATTGCCTTCCTGCCTGGAGGAAGAGAGGTGAGGGTCCAGGTATGATTGTTTAATAGAGCATCATACTCAGATTTCATAGCCTCTAGCCATTTGGGATCCTTGAGAGCAACTTTGTAGGATGTGGGTTCAAGTTCAGTCAAGAGAAGGGTGGGATGAAGTCTAGGCTGCACAATACCAACTTTTGATCTTGTGACCATAGAGTGAGTGTTTTGAGGAAATGGATGAGCTATGGGAAGATGTTCTGAACTTGAGGCAGATAGGGAGATTTCTGATGAAGAGCCAGTGGGTTTAGATGTGTTAGAGGACTGAGGAGATAGTGTATGTAGTGTTGTAGAAGGTGTGCCTGGGGAAGGAGAAATAGGTATGGCAGGCAGAGGAATTAGCTGAGGTAACACAGAGCTAGAGGGAGCACTATGTGAAGAGCTTGGTGAGAATGAAAGAGGAACAGGTACAAATATTGATTGTGGTGTGGGCAGTGAGTTGGTGTCTTTGGGAAACAAGTGCATATATGGAAATCTTATCTAATTGAAGATGACATCCTTTGAGATGTAAATCTTCCCATCAGGTGCCATACACTTATAGCCTTTGTGATGTAGAGAGTAGCCAAGGAAAATACATTCCTTGGTGTGAAAAGCAAACTTGTGTAGATTGTAGGGCCTGAGGTGAGGGAAACAGGCACAACCAAAGGCTCTGAGAGACTTGTAGTCAAGATCAATATTGAATAACATGTTGTGGGGGGACTGCATAGTTAGAACAGGAGTAGGCATCCTGTTGATAAGATAGGCAGCTGCTTGAAATGCATGGTCCCAAAACTTCAAGGGAAGGGATGCTTGTGCCAATAGAATGAGACCTGTTTCTACAACATGTTTGTATTTCCTCTCAACAACACCATTTTAGTGATGTGTTTGAGGACAAGTGAATCTGTGTATGATTCCTTGTTTGGCTAGAATAGCAGTGAGTGGCTGAAATTCACCACCTCCATCAGTTTGGACTATCTTAAGTTTACAGTTAAACTGAGTAGAGATGTGTGCCATAAACATTTTGAAGATAGAAGTTACCTCTGATTTCTATACCATAAGAAATACCCAAGTATATCTTGTGAAAGCATCCACACATGTGAGAAGATACTTGAAGCCAGCAGTAGAAGTCATAGGAGCTGAACCCCAAATATCTGCAAATTAACAATGCAAATGGAGCATGATATTGTGTAGTGGAAGCATGAGATGGTAACCTGTGAACTTTACCCAAACAACAAGCTGTGCAGAAATCTAATTTGGATTGATTAGGAATAGGAATATTACACTTGGTAAGAACAGCTTTGAGGACCTCATGATGAGGATGTCCCAGTCTGTTATACCACTGAGAGTATACAGAATATCCTAAACCAGTTACATTATTTGCACTAGAATTCAAAGCAATTGAAGGTAAAGTATGACCTGTGAGTGTGTGCACATAAGGTGACTTATTTGTGGAATCAGAAATAGCCTTGAGATTGCCAAAAGAGTAGAGTCCATCCTTCCCAAGTGTCCCTTGAAGTTGCACTTCAGAAGTAGCCTGAGATTTAACAAGACAAAAATTAGGATGGAACTCAAAGTAGACCTTGTTATCACGTGCAAACTGATTGGCTGAAATCAGATTCTTTGTAATCTGAGGCACTAACAGTAAGTTATTCAAAGTAAGTGTAACATGTGGTTTGTGTGCAGATGTGAAGGATGTGTTACCAATGGAAGTTATAGACAGACCTTGACCATTGCCAAGCATGACTTGATCAGATCCTGAAGTGGAGATGCTGTCTAGGAAGTGATCAGCAGAATTTGTAACATGATGCGTGGCTCCAGAATCTGCATACCATTGAGAATTACCAGCTAGAGAAGTACCAGTGTAAGTTCCTGCAAGATAAGCCTGAGGTTGCTTGCCAGAATGAGGAAGTGTGGCAGGATTGGAAAGGAAACCTTGTGCAGGACCACGCCATTGAGTGGGAGGCATGTGGTACCTGAGCTGGAGAAACAACGTGGATCCAGGGAACTGAGAAATTGGCCATAGGTGGAGTTGCAACACTGGGAGCACGCCGCTGATTGAAACCAAAGGGAGCAACAGAGACTCTATAGTAACACACTTTGCATCGTGACCAGATTTAGCACAGATCTGACACTGTACCTTAGATCTTCCACCGTTACGACCACCACCACGAGCGAACCGGCAACCACGATCACGTGATTGCCATGAAATTGCGACGGAGGTTCCGCTACTGTGTGTTGCGTAGTCGTATCGGAAACAGTAGACGACAGCGAATCTGGTGATGGCGACACTGTACCTTGCGTGAGATTGACAGCGAGAGCGTCATGAGGTGTGACGCGTGTGGATCTATCCAAGCGAGCCTCATGAGAGAGGAGCGTTGTTTCAGCAACCACAGTCTCACAAGGTTGATCGCGATACTGAATGATTGAAGCTAGGGCTTATATTCCGGTGGTAAGCCATCAACGATCGTCTCAAGATGATTGCGATGAGAAACCGGATTGCCTATGGATTCCAGAATATCCACAATCTGTTGAATGCGCCCTAGGTACTGAGCTATGGTACAATCACCTTTCTCCTTAGTTTGCAACTCATAGCGTAGTTGACGGGACTTTGCGTAGATCTGAGTGCGCTGAAACTGACCAATAACGGTCCAGACTTCATGAGCATGAGCGCATTTGACAACTCGTGGTAGCACCTTCTCAGACAGTGTGGTAAGAAGCCAGGTGAAGAGAAGAGAATCTTCTTGATGCCATTGCACATATGCTGGATTTTCTGTGTCGGATGCACGATCTGCTGTGGAAAGGTAACGTGGAGGAATAATAGGATTCACGAGGTGACGATGAAGCTTATGGATGCAAATGATACCTTCAACTTGCTGCTTCCAAGAGAGAAAGTTGTTGTTATCGAGCTTGCTACTGATTTGCTGAGCAAAGGTTTTGAATGCATTCTTCAAAGACGAAGCTGCTGTGTTTGGCATTGGGAGGTGCAGACCCTCGAAGTTCTGCGGTACTATTTACAAAGGGATTTTACCTATTTTCTTTTATATATCATTGGTTTCTATCAACTGTCTCTCCCTCCCACATTTAACCTTCAACAAGAAGAAACTGCCTAAGGAAATTCTGATCTCATTCAGACAGCAGAAGAGAAAAATAAAGAAAAGATAGAAACTGCAAAAGTAGAAAGAGTGCAGAAGATTTTAACGTGAATGTCATTGTGGAACAGCGACAAGAAACAAGGGCAGATTCTTGCAAAATTCTTGGTATCGGCAAACACTTTGATGGACATGGTACAAGTATGGTGTTCAAATCGAGGGTGAGACTGGCTAGAACAACTACCAAAGAGTAGATTATCTTGGAATTGGATAGAAAAAGGGCCATTTTGGCATTGGGAGGTGCAGACCCTTGAAGTTCTGCGGCACTATTCTGTAACACAAAGGGATTTTCCCTATTTTCTTTTATATATCCGTTGGTTTCTATCACAAACATTGTCTCACTAGATGGGGTCAGCTATATAAATCAAACAATATCACAATTTCAATCATGCATCAGGTTCATTGATAACAACAACACACTTCCTACTTATTATCTAGGTGAAGTACAGTGTAAGACTGCTAATTTAATCCCAGGCCCAGCCTATTAACACTATTATAAGGCTCTCAAGTTGATAAAAATCATAATAACCCAATAATTTGCATCTCTTTTTGCTAAATTGTCTCCAATGCCACTTGCACTAGTCTTGTACAGACTTTTGTAATTCATGAATATTCAGTTTCACTTTTCTAGTGTTTAGCATTGCAATAAATCAAATTGAAAATGAAGCAAATTCTGATGCAGGTACTACAATGGATGGAGGATGCAGGAATTCGTCCTTCAAGTGAAATGTACCGTGATATATCCTCCTTTTCACAAAAACACTGTGGGGCTGAAAATGCTGCTGTCATAAAAGAAAGGCTTGGTATGGATACTCTATTCATGTTCTATTGTTTTGAGGATTCTGCTCCGTTGTGTTCATACATGTGTGCTTTCATTCTTTAATGCATTTACTGACAAAAACACCCATCAATAGACATCTTGTACATATTAACCTTTCTTGCCAGTTCTGACAGTTAAAGTGTAGGCACGTGTCAATTTTGAGGAAGTGACGGTCTTTTTTACAAGGAAATAATATATTTTTTATGCATTTATTGACATTGTTTTTTATTCCTTGATGATGTTTTGTCTTATTTTATTTGCTCAGTTTGACAAGTTCTATTCACAAGTTTATAGCGAATTTGACTCCTATGGTAGATATAAAATAACAATATAACTTGCATTTATCCTTATCCTTAACATGAACAGAGTCGTTGCAAAGAAAACCTGACGATCAAATTTCTGCAAGCAAACCTTGTGAATCTCATCTTAGTTGACCATCTTCATGGAATAGTTTTTTATTAGTTTTGACACACTGTTCCAAACTGCTTTGGGAGTTATGCATCTGAGTTTGTGAAGATTGAAGTTGGATCTCAAGTAAATTTATTTTATCATCATCATCATCTTCTATTCCCGTGTAAGATTATTTTTCTTGTTACAACTGCTATTTTGTAAATAAAATTGTGTCATCCTTCCTGCGTAGATAACTAGTAAATGGTTCTATAGGTCCTTTTTTCTTGTTGCAGCTCTTTTCTTTCACAATCACTTTCTACTTGTATCCCTCCCCTCTATTTCATAGGAACTGTTTCCACTCACTTTTCTTTTTGAAGGTGTGGTAAGAAAAATGTATGCTATTTCTGAGTAAACATTGTTAAGAGCAAATGAACATAACACTAGGCTAGAATCTAGATGAACTGAATTTTCTAAAAATTGTCTAATCTTGTTAAACGTTCAAAGAAATAATTTATCATAACACACAGCAATCCATTACTTTACTATGCTGATTTGAAATCACTGTTTCAGTTGATATTTTTCAAAATCATTTTTCTTCTTCTTTATATATATATATATATATATATATATATATATTTTTTTTACATTATATTTTCAAGCACATTTCTAAAAAGTAATCGAGAGAGCAAACTCAAAGTTATCTTCGATTCTTGAAAGTATCTAGAAATAGAGAATTGTTGGAATGATGATGCAAATTGCTGAATCGGCTTTGGATCCTCTAACATATTCGAAAATGTTCAGCCGGAAATTGAATAAAGCACCACCTTACATGATCTTCTTCTCCATATCAAACAACACTTCATTTTCAAAACCCCTAAAAAAAGTTTATTTCATTCTCAATCAACTTTTTAACACCAAAACATTATTCTTGTATTTCATCACTTCAAAGGGAGAAAAAAAAACTGGAATTACAAGTAAAGTTCATTCATTCCATCCCTAATTTCTTGCATTAATTTGATTTTTGTGATGAAAAATGAATGTTGAATCTGATATGCATCTCAGATTAAAGTTTGGTGTGGTCCGGATGTGCAAATTCGAATTATCTTGGTAGTTTGAGTTTTAACGCTATTTTTTTGTTGTTGGTGATATTAGATATGATGCACCTGAATATGTTTTCCAAGACTATTGTGAGTGTGGATGTTAAATCAGTCAAAGTGAAACATTATGTTAAAATCGGTTAAAGTGAATGATGTTAAACTAAATGAAGTGAATGATGATGTTAAACCGGTTGTTGTCGAGGTATACGTCCGTGCACAATTTAGAAATAAAGAAGTGTTTATTTTTTGTGAACATGTGCTACAATTGCTTCGTACGGAGGCCACAATTGGGGTTTAACATTGTGATTCAAAGTTTCGACAATGGTTTGGATATAAGATAAGTATTTGTAACAATGAGATGTGAACGAAGTGGCACATACTAACCACAAATTAAGAAGCTGAAACGAGGTGACACTATATCAAGGAAATGTGAATGCTTGTTTAACTTGCACAAATACTGTATGACGAATGAGACATGAAAATTTAATGTGATTTTCAGAATACAAAATCATGCCTTGACTAACAAGCTGGTTAGTCATCCCATTGTATCTCACTTTGTTCTAGAAGATAGGAAACTTGTTTAGGACATGACATTAAACATGGTGACACCGAAAAACATACGTGCATATCTGAAATGTAAAAGACCGCTTAATGTTTCAATGTCAATCAAATATACAATGTGCACGCTCGAGACAACAAGGCGGTAAGAGAACCAAGATATGAAAAACAACAATTGTTAAAGCTTTTGGAGAATAACAGCTATGTTTCTAAGTACAAAGTTTGTAAGGATAAAGTCAACGTTCAAGATATATTTTGGAGTCATTTCGATTCCATCAAGTTGTTCAACACATTTCCCACCATACTCATAATTGACTCAACATACAAAACAAACAAGTATAGACTTCCACTCCTAGAAATTGTTGGTGTTACTTCTACGGAGATGATATATTCAGTCGACTTTGCTTTTTTGAAATCCAAAAAAGGGGACAATGTTACGCGGCCTTTGAAAATATGCAAGACTATGTTGAAGGGTCAAGAGAACATGCCACAAGTAATAGTCACTGATCGCGATACTGCACTGATGAATTCAATTGCAATGATGTTTTTTACATCATCCGCATTACTCTCTAAGTATCACATAACCAAAAATTTGAGAAGTTGAGTCAAACCTGCAGTTGACACGAAATAAGTCATAGGTGAAGATGGAAAAATTGTCAAATCTAGTATGGTGGTGGAAAATATAATGAATGCATGGAATTCTAAAATATATTCTTCCAGAAGAATTATATGCCGAATTTGTTCTACATTTCAGGAGTGTGTGTGACATATCCATATTTGCTGAAATATGTTGAAGACACTATTTTGGACCATGTTAAAGAGAAAATTGTTTGTGTATGGACCGATCAGGTTCGACACTCTGGCAATACAACTACTAATAGAGTTGAATTTGCATATACTAGACTAGAGAATTGGTTGGGAAACAGTAAAGGTGATTTTTGTGGAGATTGAGACGCCCTTAACCAAATGCAATACATACATCAATTCAAAGACAACATCCTTTATTCACAGTTGGTTGACAATGTATCTCAAGTGGCATTGAATTTTATTTTTCACGAAGCCAAGTGAGCATATAAAATAGGTTCAAATAGCTCAACGTGTAGATGTACACTTAGGACGACATACAATCTTCCATGTGCTTGTTTAATTTCAAAGAAGATGAAGCTTAAAAAACTAATACGTATGAATGAAATTTGCAATCACTATAAAAGGCTCCGTTTTGATGAAAATGGTGTGATTAAGGATGATAAATCAAACATATTTATCATAACCGAGTGGGAAGTGATCCAAGACATATTCATGAAAGCTTATGATATAATGAAGTTGCACATCAAAGAGAAAATTAAGAAGATTGTCTATCCAGAAATAACTAATTTGAAACCACCGTCAGAACCAGTTAAAACAAAGGGTACACCTAAAAAGATCAAACTGACACAGAGTGACAACTCCCTAAGACGGTCTCCTTTATAATTTAAAAATGTTGACTCACATTTTTTAGATTCTCCGACTCCAAAATCCCAAAAAAGTGCTTTCAAGGGTGCTCGCATTAGCAAACCATCTCCTCCACCGTCGTTACCAAAAAATCAAACACATTGAAGATATCCACTTTTTATGCATAAATACATTGAGTGAATTGTAGATATTAAAGGTGAGACATCTATGGTTTTTAAGTTATTTCGGGTTTGCTCTGTAAGGGAGAGAACGATTACCAATTTGCTCGTCGTCATCTTATACAATAGATGAAGACACATAGTGAACCATACACAAAGTTATATGGAAATAAAGTAAGTTATGATGCAATTCTCGATGCTATGGTTCCTTGTCTTACTGGTCCGACTCCGTTTGAAAAATGGACGCGCTTCTAAGAAATGAGACACCTTACAGCAAATGATTATGATATGGTGTATATTGATTTAACACGATATGATTTCTTGGAAACATTCTTTCAACTTTGGAGTAAACCACCTCAAAATCCATCTGAACGCATCATGTGTGTTGGATGGCTATAGAAAAACAAGATTTTGTTCAAGTTTATTTAAAATTAGGATGCCTTATACCAAAGAAATCACCTGAGTGGACGACATATTTCATAGTAGATGCTGAAACTTAGATGAACCACTTTCTAGAAAGGATGAAAGAGTTCAGCAAGTTAAGCGACACTGAAAGAGAAGCAAATAAGGAAAAGTCAAAGAATGAATCACCAATAGCTTTAGATAATGACATATGTTTTGATGCATTTTAGTTATAATCTAACAATGTAACACGTTTTTTGCATGTAACTAACTTCATAATGTTATAAAATTAGGTGGTAATTTTTTGAACAACTTTTATGTTTTAAATTCTACACTGCATAATACACTGGCTCAAAATTGCATAATTTTTGTGTGGATCTGGAGATGCATTTACAGACACACCTTTTGATTATTTACAAAAAAATAAGGGACTATCCGGATATGCATCTCCAGATAAACCCTTGTTTTTGAAATAAAAGGGCGGATCTGGTGATGCATATCCAAATTCAGTCTTGATTATATGATAGGGTATGTAAGGTCCTTGTTGATCTATAGTTTCTATAAATAAGGCCTCTCATTCCATTTTATTTACAAAAACCATTATGAATCCCTGTCACCATCTTGCATTTGTGTATTTCAATGGCGCAAATCCCTCGTTTCTGTTTAGGGTCTCCAATGAAATAATTCTCGTCGATCTGAAATCCAAACTGAATACTCTCATGCAATATGTGGAAAATCGGAGAGTTGTCAAGCTCGAGTACCGCTTATCCTCGATTGACAACAAAGGGAAGATACAACTCACCATTCTTGAACTGAAGACGGGTGATGTTTTAAAGGTTATGTGGAGTACGTTTTATTGTTACTCAACAAAGGACCTGATTCAAGTGGATGCAACGATAAAGGATCAGCCAAAGATATTATAAAGATGTTGCAACGTTCTGAACCACCAGTTTTTAATGGCATGTAATGTTTAATTTATGTTAACGCTAACAATTATCTATGTAATGTTTATTTCGATGTTAACATATGTTGTTTTTCCATTCAACCATTGTTTTATGTTGTTTCTGGTTTGAACTAACAAAGCATATTCTGGAGTTACATCTCTAAAACGCTTATTGAATATTGAACTAAGAGTTTTTATGGAGATGCATCTCTGAATTAACATTTAAAGCATACAGAAATGAATCTCCGGACTAAAATTTAACAGAATAAGGGTTTCTCAGCAAATTCATCTGAGGCCTGTGTGAAAAAAAGTGTGTTTGAAGATGCATCTCCGGACGCTATAGGCATTTGATACTTTTTATGGAGGTGGGGGAGAACACATAAGGGTAGAAAGAGAAACCCCATTATCTTATATGTTATGAATAATATTTGTTT